TCAGAACAAAGAACAAAAACAGTTAGTAATGGATTTTTTTTCTCCCCACTTGTTTTAGGGATACAAGGTTCAGGAAAAGCAAACACAAGGCATTTCAGTTAGACAGATACAAATATAGATACACACACACACATGCACTTGTTTTGAAGCCTTTTTAATTCCCTGGTGCCAGGGATACCATTGTCCTGTTACGGCTAATGTCTGTTTGATATTAAAAAAACATGTTCTAGAACAGCAGGACTAAACTCCCAGTTTATACATATGTGAATTTAATTTTTTCATATTTGCTACCTCACATAACCATTTGTAAGACTGTTTTTGGTAAGGACGGGCACCACTGCCACATCCTCTCAAGAACAGCACCTTTGTTGCACCCATTTATCCGAGAGTCTTGCAGTTTAAGAAGAAACATGATTTTCATGAAGCAAGAATTATATTTGATAATTGTGCATGCACCAACATTGTGAAAAATCTATTTCCAGGTAATCTGGTTGACATCATTCCAAAAAATGAGGAAAAAGAGAACAAAAAAAAAAAAAGAAAAAAGAAAATCAGTTGCAGAGTTGCTAAGCCAGTTTCACTGACTTCCCTGTTCTAATCCCTAGGAAAACACTTCCTCCCAAAAAGATGTTATGTGGGTGTGCTTGAAAACATCTGAGGCTCTCAAGGAACACATTCTTTTTGTGGCATACACTGAAACATTTCTAGAAGTGATAAATGACAGTTTCACAGCCACCTAGACAAATTTAAATGGAAAACAACACTCCTTTCTCAAACAGATGAAGGCCAAGCTATCATACCTCTCCTTGAGCTTCAGGACTGTCATTTAAAACCAGGACAACGGACAACATCTCCTTTTTATTCTACTGTACCGGTCATCTCCTGCTGGTTTCCTGCTAACAGAGCTCTTCCCCCTACCCTCCGGATACATTATATTAGTCACACATAATTTTCCCTAGATCCTGGGCCACCAGAACAAGAATACAAAATGCAATACATTCATTTACAAGAAAGGCCTTACTGCTCGCCTTTATTTTGTGTAAAGGCCTAACTGATCATTTACTCCATTTTCATTAGATAAAGGCAAGAGTTTTTTGGTCTAGCACATCATGAACAGTGCTCTGTGTCTCTGGAAAGCAGTTTTCAGTTGAAAATTATACAGAAACTCTATATGGAACCCTTTTTCTTCTTTTTATTTTTAATAAAAAAAATGTGTAACTTAAAATTCAGCATTATAGCCAAAGCTTGCACTGGTTTTGAAGCCATCTTTAGAAACTCTATCAGCTACAGTAGATAATTGCATCCTTTTCAAAAAATCATATTTCCTACTGGTCAGTATTTAATCCATGAATTCACTGCTAATAAAAAGTAAAACCACAAATAGTGTAGTTTTTATGGCAGCTTTAACACTATGGGGAAAAAAAACCCAAACCCTGAGCAATTTCTAAAATTAAGTACTTCATATGCCCCTTCAAAAGGTTTATTCAAATATATGGAATTGTACAGCATACACATAGCACCTCAGGATATCAGCACACCACTAACCACTATAAAATTATATCTTGGCATATATGGCTACCAGTAAGTCCCACAATGAAGCCAAGAACAACTCAACATGCCAGATGTATATTCTGGTATGACTGGCCCTGCTGCTCCAGAAAGAACTGCATTGAGAAAGCAGTGTTCTCACAATCACAGGTCTGCCTCCCTGGAACTTGGAGTGAAAAAGGAAGGGGAATTGCAAGGTCAACCTAAAAAACCAAGGGGAAGCCAAGCTGCAGAAACCTACAGTTTAATGACTGGCAGCCACAGACAGACTACTGGGATCTGCACTGCACTAGGACTAACAGACTCCAGGACTCAGCTTCTAGAAATGAATACACACACACACACACACACACACTCTTTATAAATATATGTATTTTCATAGCTGTAGCTATGGATTTCTAAAACAAGCATCGGTTTCCAAATAACTCTCCTTTTCAATGGTGTATTTTTTAAAAACAGCGAAGAACACTGAAGGTAACAGGAAAAAAAAAATCAAAATGACAGATGTAAATGTGTGTGAAAAAATATGACAGACAAGTAAAAGCAGCAAGGAAAATACCACTGACAGATGGAGGCAAGGTAAGAAGTGAGCCTGGTACCTAGCAACAAATTGATATACACAGATCTGCTGCTAGGATTTCCAGAATTCTGCGTCTAACTCTAAAATACAGTAAAGAAGTGTTAAATGATTCAATGGAAAACAGAAGATAAAAAACATTAAATGGAACAAAAGTTTCTAGAAATCATACTTACATTATTCTTCTGGCAAATAATTTCCTAGAAGAAAAAAAAGAAGAAAAAAAATAATGTCGATAATACCGAACAACTACTAGGAAAGGTATGCAATCATTTGACTTGCTAATATTAACGTTTACAGACACTTGACAGGAAAAGGCTGGTTGTCAGATGTTTCCTAAGCCTGTCAAATCAATATAAATCAAGTATTGTCTCAGGAGAGACAAAATGACTATGGAACCAAGTACACACATACATTTTATATATACACTGGAGTGTATGTACTGTGTGCATATCTACATATCCCTCCCTGTATAAATTTTCCTACAAGGATGCTGTCCAAAAGTTGACTATTAATACACATCTACTCATATTTGAGAAGTTAAATATAGTAAGTAACATTTTGCTGCCAGCAAAAGAAACTGTGAAGAATTGTAAGAGCAGTATTTCTGTGAGGTTTTAAAATATTCCAAAACCGGTTGAAATTCATGTTCATGCTCTAATAGATCTGATGCAAAGAATGTATCTTCACATTTAAAGTGTAAAGTTTCAGAGGACAGGAAGTCAGAGCACATATGGATGGAAAGAGCTGGTTATTTCACACTAATCTGGGTGGTACAGCCCAAGCGTGAACCACTTGTAGTTGGTGACCTTGCTTTCAGACAGATTTGTCAACAAATTCTGATCACAGCAACTGATAACCATACCAGATTTATCAGACAGCTACCCTACACCTCTGCCACTGGGACCACTGAGCAGCTTCACCTACACCACAGCACTAAAACCAAACACAATGTCAAATCAAGGGGCCTAGTGCTTTCCATTCGCAGAAAACCACTCTTCGCCCATTCAGGGGGCATGTTTTACATACCCCTGTTGCTAGCTTTCAAAGTGTCCTGGCGCAGGCAGGGACATCTTTCACTAGATCAGCTTGCCCAAAGCTCTGTCCAGCCTGATCTGAATGCTTATATAGAAGAAAATTCTACCTGCAAGAGTTTACCTACATTGCTTTGTATCCCAACTAAATCATGTACTGCAGTTTTATATCTCTTACATTTTCAAGATCTTTTTCAGTTTTTCACCTTCTATGCACACACACTCCTGCATTGCTTCTACTCTATCTGCTAGCTGTAACAAATACAGGAAAAACATTGCCTCAGAAGATGCCCTGGCATGACCGTAACTACTTTTTTAAGGCAGTTACTAAATAATACAGAAAGGGTCTTGCTCTCTGATGACTTTCCTGCATACTCTCAAAAGGAGAAACATGGGACCAACTCACAGCTCAAGGAAACTGAAGGGAGTCTTTCAGTGGGCGCTGTGCTGGTTGCAACTGGGACATCAAGTCTCCCAGCATAGAACTGGGTTTCCACTTCATTTGACCCATTTGCAAAGTCTAAGTCCTAAACTAGTAAAAAGTTGTCCCAGGTGCATAAGGAAGCCTGATGCCTCACTCCAAGTGATTTTCAGTGGGAGCTGGGTATTTGTCACCTTTCCCAATACAATGAAATTCTCTCTTCTACTTATACTGTAGATCACTGTACTTCCATAATTGAACTCAATTCACAGACAGGTCTTTTGTCATTGGGAGTTTTATTTTTAGGGCTTTTATCTGTATCCATTTTGTGTTGAAGAAAGAAATAATTGGATTGCAACCAGTCCAGTTGGCTGAGCAAAGCTGGAGGGAAGAGCAGAGGGAAGAAACTGAGCTACTCAAGGCATGTCCCTTCCAATAGAGGGCCAAGCTACAAACAATGGGAGAGAATCAAACCCAAATAGCCTGCACTAGCCAGAAGCACTGGATGCAAACTCTTCATGAGAGGCAGCAGTGCCCAGATTACAGTCTGACTCACCAAGCCACTTACTTAAAATGCTTCTTTTCATCAATGCCCAGAATGGAAGTGTAACAGCATAAAACACCTCCTGATCAGAGCAAATGAATCTGAGGGAGAGGAAGTAATTGAAAAGATTGCCATCCAAGTTGTCTGCCCTCCTCCATCCCCATGGAAGTTACTGCACCTTTAATAGAGTTGCATGAGGAGGCAAGTATCAACTCCTTGGCTGGCACGATTCACAGCCCCATAGATAATCTTTAACCACCATCTTGCCTTAAACCAACCTACTGTACTGTGAACTGCAGCCCTGAGGACCAGACACAAATTTTGTTTTCACTAACTCTGCTACATTGATGGTAATCTCTAGCACAGCAATCCCACAGGTACCTGATGCAGACAGCTGTAACTCAGCAGGACATACCAGAGAGCATCTGGGGCCCCATCAGCTTTGGCAGAAAACTGCTACTTTACTCAGGAGCTTGAATTTAAAGATTATTTTGCTGCCACCCTACACACTACCATTGTTACCTTTTTGAGATTGTAACATTCTACTCCAAGCACCACTAATTCCTTTGAATGACAAAACAATGAATTTGATTTCTCATGCCAAATTTGTCGAACTTCTGTTTCTGTAAAGAGCCATTCGACACCTAGAAATTTAACTGTCTGTGACAAAATCATCTAAATCTCTTAGGAAATCTAAACTAAGTTTTTCAGCATTTCACTGTGGACATGTTTTCCAGGCTTCAGAATATTTTTGCTATTCTTGTGAACCCCAAATGGCATCTGTATCTCCTATAGTAACACAGAACCTATTTCAAGAGCTGGATCCTGCTTTGTGACTTGCCCCTACACATACCCCATCTTTCCATTCAGAGATACCTTCAGTGACTGCAGAGACTCTGCATTTGTATCACAGTAGAGGATAATGTTGTTAGCCATGCTGAAGCTCTCCCTGACTCCCAGATGGTAGAACAGGGAAGGCTGACGGAAGGCATCACTCATCTCTACAACAGCAATATCTGTGGAAAGAAATGAAAGATTTATTGTCAGTGTCACACATTTCTGACAGTCAGATACTTCTCGACCATGTCTCTTTACACAATTTGCTTTGATAAGAAGACTCACCTTTAAATAGGAAATAAGACATCTAGAGGGATTTCCCCACTTCAGCTGTTATGACTGAATTTTGAATATAGTCAGCAGGATGTGGTTTAATTTTTTTTCCTCTTTTCTTTCTTCCTTCCTCCCTCCCCCTTTCTTTTCTTTAAACAGACCTCCATTTCCTCAGGTAAAAAGGGGTAAAACATCACTAATCAAGAAAAGGCAAAACTCTCATTCGGTAACTTGAAGAATAAAATCGATTTGGTTAATCTACACGTGATGATTGATGACCTTGTTGGGGGGAGGGGAGAAAAAAAAAGGAAAAAAAAAAGGAAAAAAAATTACATTTCATGTGGGTTTTTTTCACCCTCTGTGCAAGTTGTATTAAAAAAAATCATGCAACATATGTACATCACTGAAGAACATACTGTATAGATTCCACATTAGAACTTTGGAAGAAAACAGCTGTAAGGGCAAAGGTAGCTTCTCAATATAAATTACCATTCAGATCCTGATTCATATATAAAGACTACAGAGAAGAAAAAGGGACAAGGTATATCAGAAGAAAAGGAAAGAGGGAGTGAATATGTAAAGTCATACATAAGAACTTTGTTGTGGACAGAATTTTGTTCATAACTTTTACCTGCATGAATAAAATTCAATGCATAAACAAATGTTTACAGAACACAGAAATTAGTTATAATTTCTCTTTAAACATGTGTTTCACTTGTTCTAATTCACACTAATGTGAAACAAGACGCAATTCCAACAGCAGAAATAGTTAAGGCTTCTATTGTAACAGGCAGCGTATTTCCCCTGCAAAAGTCTTGTGGGAACAAGACAACTGACTCATCTCCACCTCTCCTGCAAACATCCTTCTGACTATTCACTCAATTCAAGTTTTTTTCATTTCTTTCAGAGGGGAAAAAAAAAGTAATTCAGAGAAATATACTTCTGTTAAGACTAGAATAAAAAAAGCAGCCTGGTTTCCACCGTCTCTCCCTGCTTTCCCCATCCTGCAGATGCTTTTATGACAGAAAAGGCAGATAGCACGACAAGCTCTTCAGGCAAAAAAATTATGTACCCTCAAGTTTCTCTACTCTAATTGATCTAATAAGAGATTCTACCTCTAACCACAACTTTTCACCTTGCTCATCAAAACTGTAATGATGATATTCAATAAAAGATAAGCTTTGTGAATATGCTCCCAACTGGGTGCGCAGAAAGGGTGCCTCTCCAACTTGTTGAGAAGTAACATCATTGAGATATTTACTCTTCAGTAATATTTTATTGTAACTGGCCTACAGGCCTAGAAATTATTAAAAAGCTGAAGAAAGGGATAGATACACACAGGAAGTTGAACAGACAACATTTGCCTATATAAACCTAGGCTCCTCAAGAAACAGGATCAAAAGAGATGAGATTTACATGGTATAAAAAAAAAGATAATTTCCTCCCTCCCCAAAAAAACTAATATTAAAATTATATTTTCTAAACATTTCATAATTTGTGTTCTAAGAATCTTCCCCTGTCCAATTTCACACAAATATTTGCAGCGTGGATTCCATTAAATACCTTTTATTGATGTAAAAAAGGCAGAGCATTGCTAAAACCATACATGTGCTGAGTTAATTTCAGGAAATGAAGATAGCACAAAAGCCAAACTAGAATGACAACATTGCTACTATGTTTTGTTTGGGTGAGATTAGGGCTTATTTGTTTATTTTCTTTAGGAAATTGCCATAATACAAGCTCTATTTTTAACTACTCATACTCACATGGAAGTCTAATCTTGAGCAATTACAAAGTTATGGTACATTTTTGTTACACTGAGCAGGAGGAAAATTTGCGCAACTTGGCATGACTTAATTCTCAAATCTTGCAAGATAACATGCTCTCACTAGAGTTTCAAAACTAAGATTAAAAGAGAAATATTAATTTAAAAGGTAAAATAAAGTGATAGAGCCTGATCAAATTCAGAATACAGACAATACTTGAGAAATCCTATGTTAAAATGGTAAGTTCCCAGCATCACAAACAAAAGAATAGCTAAGAAAAAAATTGGCATGTGTGTGTGTATGCGTATATATACACACACACACACACTACCATCAAGATCAGTTGGCCAAATCCATTTAACACAATCTCACTCCAGGCCACACTGTAAGAAATGTTCTTGGATCCTGTCCTATCCTATCACTGGAATACAAAAAAAAAAAAACCTCCCAAAAAATCCCCAACATAAACCCACCCAAAAAAACCCCCACAAAACAAACAAAAAACCAAACCAAAACCCACCAAAAACCAAAACCCCAAAACAAAACCCCACAAAGAAAAGCCCTGAGTTAGTTAAACAGAGGAGGGGAGGACCACAAGAATAAGGAAAGATTTGTGAGAAAAGTTACTCTAAGATCCAGGTGTAAACTCTGTTGTGATACTTGTATTTCTTATGTAACTATAGAGGATCTCTTTTTCGTTACATGTAAAGACTTCTGTGAAATCCAGGTTTTCTGCATAATCTCATTTAATAAAGCAGTATTTACATTACAATAGGTCCAATTTCTGTGAAGTCTTCCTTCTTACTCTAGCAATTATGTATTTTAAGATGAAGTTGCCATTCATGATGAAGATCAGATTTCTAAGGTCCAGGTGTCCTGGGTTCAGCTACAGCAGTCATTTTTTCTCCTTCTTAGTAGCTGGTGCAGTGCTGTGTTTTTGACTTTCAGTCTGGGAACAACGCTGATAACACCGATGTTTTTAGTTGTTGCTCAGTAATGTTTACTCTGACCAAGGACTTTCTCAGTCTCATGCTTTGCCAGAGAGGAGGGGAAGCCAGGAGGAAGCAGAGGCAGGACACCTGACCCAAACTGGCCAAAGGGTTATTCCATACCACAGCACGTCATGCCCAGTATATAAACTGGGGGGAGTTACCCGGAAGGCCCAGATCGCTGCTCGGGTCGGGCTGGGTATCGGTTGGCGGGTGGTGAGCGGTTGTGTCCTTTTCCCTTGTTATTCCTCTTATCATTGTTACTGGTAGCAGTAGTGGTTTGTATTATACCTTAGTTACTGGAGTGCTGTTGTCTCAACTCGTGGGAGTTACATTCCTTCGATTCTCCTCCCCATCCCTCCGGGAGCGGGGGGAGGCAGGAAAAAGGGGGGGAGTGAGCGAGCGGCTGCGTGGTTCCGAGTTGCCGGCTGGGCTTGAACCACGACACCAGGTTATCCCTCTGGGCTGGTATCACAGTTTCCAAAGGCAACAGCCCAAATCTTACCTGCAATTCCAACATGCCACAAAAAGTATGCACACTTTCAGAGCCAGGTCTCTATCCAATTAAAAACCCTATACCCTAAACCTGTTTCTGGCATTTCTGACCCATTTCTGACTACCTTCTTTCACAAGATCAGGAGAGAAACTCCTCTTACCAACGGAGGGATCAGTGTATGAAGAAAAAAAAACAAAAAAAAAAAAAACCAAAAAAAAAAAAAAACACCCAAACAAAAAAAACCCCACAACCAAACAAAACAAAATGGAGAGAAAGGAAAGGGGTAGTGGTAATGATTCTTATAAAGCACCTAAATATTCAGTTATACAAAGTATCGTTAGAAGTTTAGCAAAGCTGAGCAAGACTGATGGCTTTCAAGACAAATCTAAGTAAGCATACATCAAGATTCTCAGTAGTTTGGAAGAGCCAGGATTCAGCTAAGTCCAAAAGAACTGATTGGTCATCAATAAACAAACTGTCAGAATCCCATTTATCAGGCTCTCACTCTCATTTCCCCCAGATTAAATAAATCTAACAGCCTGGTGCAATGAAATATGTGTTTTCCATTCACTGGAAAATACAATTTCACAAATGGCAAAATCATATTTCAATAAAGACAGAAGAATTAGTTCTGCAGTTACATTGGAATAAAACCCACTTACAAAAGTATTTGCAGCTCTGGTTTCAAGGCAAGTGACAATGGACCAAGCATGGGAACCAGAGCAGAGCTCTCTCTACATCAAAGTCCCCAGGGTAAAGCACTCTGAAGTCCAGGGACTAACAATTCACTCCAAACGCTCTTGCACACCTTTATGTTGTAGCAAGGAAAGTCTGCTCTGGATCCAGCACACTAATGAACAGGGTGGGTATGGAAGCACACTGTGCAAAACAGTGCGCAAGAGACGGGGAAGCAGAAGAACCGCAATTCTTGCAGCCCCACAGGTTGTGGAAAAGAATAAGTTTTATCCCTTACTTTGGCCTTAGGCACAAGATGAAATTTCACCTTACCTTGTGAAAGTGAACCAGGTCACAGATCACTGATAGTATTCAAAGAAAACAGGGACAGCATGGTCTTCACCTTCGCAAGTCATCTTTGCACATTATGGCTAAAAAGCCTTATAATAAATCTTTCAGCAAATTATTGTGTCTTGTGTCTTGCTGTTTTATGAACAATAAAGGAAGTCTAGCCATAATCTTCTCTTCCATCTCCTTAAACAACTGGCATGCCTACATGGATGTGACTGAAGTGCATCATAAGCATGAAACCAGAGCATAGCTCTGGCCTAGGAAGCAGAAGCAGCATAAATGCAACAGCAGGCAGTTCAGTAAGCTCTTCATGTCCATTTCCTAAACCACCTGAGCTCTACCTGCCTGCCAACAGCAACCAAGCTACCTGTAATGAAGCTGCCTACCTACACGTTAGTTGGTTAACCACACAATGAGCTGCAGACACAGCAACAACCACAGAGCAGTCACACACTATGTTATTAGGCTAACTAACATCTATACCAACACTAGCTGCAAGCACACCATCACACATGCAAGACAACAGAACACATAACACTGAGAATTGTCCTTTTTACCCTGGGAAACCATGTTCACGTGATAGAATTGGAGGCAGTCACCTTGACCCTTCTTGCCTGAGAGCATGGGAA